GTATAAGCTTCTTGTAATTTTTTAAATAAAATACCAACAATAAGCTTAATAATAATAATAATAGAATTAATAATAATATTATTAATATTTTTTATTTTTATCATTTATATTAATATTAGTAGTATTAGTACTGTTAAATTTATGTAAATTTGTATAGGTATATAGTTAATTTGTATATATATATATATATATATATATATATATATATATATATATATATATATATATATACACACACAGGGCCGACATGGTGGCGATGTGGGTAGCACTGTCGCATCACAGCAAGAAGGTTGCTGGTTCGAGCCTTGACTTGGTCAGTTGGCCTTTCTGTTTTTGCATGTTCTCCCCGCTTTCACGTGGGTTTCCTCTGGGTGCTCGGTTTCCCCCACAGTCCAAAGACATGCAGTACAGTTAAATTGGGAAGGCTAAATTGTCCATAGTGTACGACTGTGGATGTTTCCCAGAGATGGGTTGCAGCTGGAAGGGCATCCGCTGCATAAACCATGTCCTGGAGAAGTTGGCGGTCATTCCGCTGGGGCGACCAAAGTTTAATAAAGGGAACAAGCCGAAAAGAAAATGAATGAATACATATACATACACTTAAATAAACACAGACACAGGAAAATGTATTGTGTACTGTGTATGAATATATATATATATATATATATAGAGAGAGAGAGAGAGAGAGAGAGAGAGAGAGAGAGAGAGAGACATATTTTACACACATATTTATAAATAGGTACATATTAATAAATTTTTATAAGGTATATAGATTAATTGGCATTTATTTTAGTACAATATGTATAAGTGCATTGTAAAATATTTTTATTTCACTACTACTATTACTACTAATAATAAAAATTAATAATAATAATAATTCTTAATATTATTAATAATAATAATAATAAATCATTATTATTAAATGATTATGTATTGGCATCTTTATTTTGTGTAAATTTATAACACAAACATACTTTTATTATCTTTAGTGTTAAACATTTTTAATGTGAACACACACACACACACACACACACACACACACACACACACACACACACACATAGTTTATAGTACACACATACATAGTATGTAGTAGGCACACAAATACATAAAAGTTAAAAATAAAACATTAAATGAATATGCAAAAAACTTGGCATATAGCACCTCCAACTGGGCATTTATTGAAATGACTGTATTTTGACCGTTTTTAGGTCTGTCTTCTCAATGGGATAGAATTATAAATATTTATACATATGCAGACGCGTGTATAGACGTATACTATTAACCTGTTGTGTAATATTAGAGAGAACATGGTACAGTATTCAATTATGCAATAGCTCATTCAGTTCAATTCACATTTATTTGTATAAGGTGTATAAAAAGGTGTATAAAAAGGTGTATAAGAAGTGCATTGTCTGTTCTTTGAAACAACAGGTTTAACAAAACTTGAATTGTATTTACAGGCGTGGGTGTCAGAAAAAGCTACTGAAATCTAATACAAATTGTATTTGCAGATAAAACATATGCATTAACTTTTACAACTTGAATTAATAAAACAATTATTTTGTATCTAAAATCCTTGCTGAGGCAGGCACTGTCTATTCATAGGTGGGTCATGTGAAGTCTTCATAAAGGACTATTTCTGAAAAAAAAACAGAAATATATTGTACTCAAACGATGGCACTGTCAATAATTAATCAATGATGCAATTAGATTTCATGCTTGCAGCCCGTTTTCTATCTTATATCAGTTTCATTTAGCATTTTTCATTTTTCAAAAAGGAACATAAATAAACACGGTCCCTGAGATGAGCGCGAATAAGAAGCTGAAAAACGGAAGCGTCGCGGTTTTTAAGGTGGACCGCATAGCGTCAATAAGAAGCTGCGAATAAGAAGCTGGATTCAGCCTCGTGCTGTTTGTTTATGGAGCTCCGTGCTAGAGTTCTGCTCCCGCGATTTATTCGGAAATTTATTCCCGCGCCGCAGAAATCTGGCGCGGGGAGAGAGAGAGAGAGAGAGAGCGAACGAACGAACGAGCTTTGTGTACTTTGTGCTGTGTGTGTGTTTTGATACAGACAGCTTGGCTGTCTGGACTGTATACTGGGTGATATTTGGTTGTGTTCTCCGCTCTAGCGGGACCGGGCGCGGCGGGCAGAAAACGGAGCGGGTTCTCAGGCTAAAACCTGGCGGGTGCGGGCTGAAGCGGGAGCGTTGTCATCCGGAGGTGTGTGTGTGTTTTTGTGTGTGTGTGGTATGGCGAGTACACGACTGTCTCCTTCGTTCGGTTATCCGTGGCACTATCCACTCGCCATAGTGTGGCAGCTAAAGTCCACTTCTACACTATCGAGCGTGTATGAACTGTGATTACTTTTTAAATTGCTGATTAGCTATTGGCCATTTCCCTCTCTGACTGAAGGCAGTCGACCAATCGCGACAGACTGTCATCGGCCCAATCAGCGCAGATTAGCTTCGCGCTAAGGAGGGGTTTGGGAACAAATGAATCACTGGACGATTCATACAGGAGTCACTGGGATAATTAGATAAAAATAAATGCAGATTATAAGACCATGAAAGTGTTTTTTGACCTTGCATGCATATTAGACTGTTGTTGGAGACCCTTACAACCAAGATATGACCTTATTTCATGTATAATATGGGCTCTTTAAAAAAAGTTTTCAAAACTGTACATTTAATTTGACTTTTGTTAAATGTTTTATTGAGATGTTTTGCTGGTGATTGGATTGGCTCACATGAATAGCTTTACATGGACAAATGATTTAAGACCTACACAACCATATTTGAGTAAATTTAAAACTTTTTAAGGCCTGAAATTTTGTTATTGATTTTTTTTTTTACTTTTTGAGACCCCGCGGACACCCTAAAATATCTGACCAGCTGATCACATATCAGCAACGTGTAGACGTGGTCAAAACATGACATGTGATTGTGATTGAATGTGATTTATGTTGCCTTATACTATTTCAGACAATGCACTGGAATTTTTCAGCCATTACTGGCAGATAAAAAAATACTTGTACATAACAGAGATCAGAAACGAAATCAAGCTTATAGAAAGGCAAAAGTAACTCAAATACCACTCGCTACAAACAAACGATTGCCGAAGATCTCAAAAGTTCTAACCAAACAATCAAACTTTGGAAGTGATGAACCACACTGGCTGCCTCTCGTGTCTTTTTTATGAACAACCTAACTGTATGAATCCATCCTGCCTTGTATAATAGGATCAGACTGGTGTAATGTGTCAACGACGGCAAATTATGGGTGCTTGACCCTCTAATTAACGCTTGATCTCTTCAAAGGATGTCAAAACAAGATGTGCGTGGGGGTCTGCCCTTTAAATAATAGGAAAATGGTTTGCACTGATATCTCTTAAATAATAATAATTATGTATAATTAATAATAAAATTGTATATTCACAGCCCCTGTAAACTGGTAGATCTAGCCTACCGAAAGACTACCCAATCAGTTCAAATTTTTGGTGAAGTAACATAGGTTTCAATCTACATATAAGCATGGCTGGTATAAGTTTCTGACAGTATGATAACCTTGGATAAAAATATCACGTTATCACAGTATTGTGTTTACTGCGGTAAAATAATGTTTTTTAATTACTTTTTCCTCATTAAACACAATATATTACATTTTAGGAATGATTTAAAATATTTTGGAACAGTAAATGTGAGGCTACATAATTAAAATAAACCATTGAATTCTATCTTTATTAGTTTCAAAAACACAGATTTCCTTACAACACATGAAAAAAAAAACTATAGACCTTAGAAATGGTATAACAAAGCGTTTTTGCGGTTTTAATATCCTGACACTTTCGAACCTTGGTAAACCTTGAAACCGGTTATCGCCCCTTGCCTATCTACATATAACTTAATTAAAGTAAAATCTGACTCATGGTGTGTATAAAATATGCTCATATATCGCACATGGAAGTTAAAGTAAAACAGTAAGGGTCTTTCATGGAAAAACATTTATCAGAGCAGGAATGCAAACTTTTCACTGTTCGTCAAAATTCACTCTTTTATATCATAAATAGGTTTTAGTCAACGTATAAGTAATACACTGGATATCAGGGATATTGTGATTGCACATTTTAAGTACCAATTGAGCGTTGGTCAGTACCTGGATGGGAGACCACATGGGAAAACTAGGTTGCTGTTGGAAGTGGTGTTAGTGAGGCCAGCAGGGGGCACTTAACATGTGGTCTGTGTGAGTGCTAAAGCCCCAGTAAAGTGAAGGGGACGCTATAGTGTCAGTGAGTGCTGTCTTAAAAATTAAAAATGTTTAATTTCAAAAATTCCATGGCACTTGTCTTAAAGAATAGGGGTGTAATCCTGATGTCCTGGCCAGGTTTCCTCCATCTGCCCTTATGACCTCCCAATCATCCCCATCCACCAAATTGGCTCTATCACTGTCTCTCCACTCCACCAATAGTTGGTGTGTGGTGAGCGCACTGGCGCCGTTGTCCTATGGCTGCCGTCGTATCATCCAAGTGGATGCTGCACACTAGTGTTCGTGTGAAGAGACCTCCCTCATGATTGTGAAGAGCTTTGGGTGTATGGCCATACACAATAAATGCGCTATATAAATACACATTACATTGTTTAAGCTCTACAGCCAACCAGAGTATTGTTACTTACCCTATCCATCCCTTTATGACCACAGCTCACCAACTTGTGATGGCTACTTCCAGAAGCATAACACAGGATTCATGAACATCACAATGAGTCACTAATGACTGATGATTGTTGATTAAGTGAACTGTTTATCACTTTTAACACAAACTTGAATGTTTTTTTTTAAAGTTCATTAACAACTCGGCTCTATAAATAGTACACAGTAGTTGGAACATGTTTTTTAATCCCACACATTAGTGACAAGGTCAAACTCATTCTTAACACATCTGTGACTCGTAGGACTAAATAAGCCTGAGGTTATTTTGGGATCTTCAGTTAACTCTTTAATCAATCAAATGTTGTCCTGGCAAAGGTGAGCTGCTCTTCTTGCTCTTCTAGAGTAACAAAACAAGAATATAAAGATGACCACCGCGATTGCAAAAGATAAAGGCACACTGATAATCACAATATTCCTGATTGTGCTGCTGGAATACACTTTTCTTGAGCTAGTGAGGTTAGCAAACCGGCTCTCAGGGATTTCCCAGTGAATCAGACCTTGAGCGAAGTCTAAACTCAGATCTTTAGGAGACAACACCTTCACGCCTTTGTACATCCTCTTCACTCTTCGTTTACCGGTGTCCAGTACATCACAGCGATACGTCCCAGAGTCCTCCTCTCTGAGAGGGTCTAGCACCACCTTGTCCAGGCTAAGGGCTTCATAACGGGTGAATAAGGAATCATCGGTGGTGATGATGGCAAATGCAAAGCGCCAAGACACTACAAAGGAAAAGCGACCCATGGCTTCCATCACCTCCTCCAAGCAATCGAGCACCAGTCGCCGACCAACAGTAGCGGTTTGGGTCTTTAGGCCACACTGCCAGGAGTCCAGGCAGCTTATGGTCCTCAGCTTGCAGGAACTTGTGGAGATGTTTCTGGTCACTCCAATAGGACAGAGTTCTTGAGTTAGGAGGCCGAGTCCACAGGTAACACTGCAGGGGAAGCTACGTGAGACAACCCAGGTGTGGATCTGCTCCAGTTCTTGCAGTTCAGCTTGGCTTAAAGTGCTACACTGACTGTCGGAGAACAGCGACGTCCAGAGCATTAAGACCAGCCAAAGTGTGGAGAGAGCCATTACTGTGACACAGAAGAGGAGCAATAGTCTAGCCAAGCTGTCAGTAGATTTTCAGTATGACAGTGTCTTTTAATAAATTATTTATCATATTTTTATTTAAAATTAACCGTTTGCAAGAAAATGTAATTGTTTGCTTTTTATCTAATTATTTGTTTTAAAATTTAAGTATTCATATTTTAAATTAGTTTTTGCCTTAGAAAATGGAAATATTGAGAAATGTGAAAAATTTACAATACAAACAAATATAGTATTAGTTATAGGCCCACACAGAATGTTCACAGCAAATAATTACATTTATTTACGTATATTTATTTATTTTTAGTGGCTCTATTATATGAGATGCCAAACAAGTGCTTCTAATCTGATTTGCAATGTAAACCTTCAATAACAGTTTTATGCTTATGCTTTATGTGTTGTTTTCAGCTCCTATAATCTCAAAATCATTCCATATACAATACCGGTCAAAAGTGTGTGGTCAGTATAATTTTTATATGTTTTAAAATAAGCTTATCCTGCTGACCAAGGCTGCATTTATTTAATCAAAAATACAATACAAATTGTAAAACTGTGAAATGTGATTGCACTATAAAATAACTGTTCAAAGTAGTTTATCATTTCATTTATTCATTTATTACAGGAGTTTTAAAGATGAATTTTCAGCTTCATTACTAAGTCTTCAGAGTCACATGATCCTTCAGAAATCACTCTAATATTAATTAATATCATTATAACTATTATTATTATTAATGGTATTAGTAATAAAAGCAATAATGACAAGAGTAATAATTTCATTTAAAACTACATACAATAAGAAAGCAGTTATTTATATTTTTATAAATATTTAACAATTTAACATTTCTTTACATAAATGCCTCCCTGATTAACAGAATAACTAAAAAAAAAAAAAAAACATGAAAAAAACTGACCCCAAACTTTTGACTGGTAAGTTAACTTGGTGTATATCTTCAGATATCTTCATGGCAAGTCAGGGTTCTGAAATAGCATGTATGACGTTACTGTTAAATATCTTGTTCAACATGTATCCTTTCAGCAGATTTAAATTAATATTTAATTAAATATTAAATTCCTTTTTCGTCTTTTAATAATCTTTAGTATACAGTAAAGTTAAATTTTAAGCAAACAAATTTAAAAAACAAATGTTTGTTCCATAATTATGCTCCAAACTGTTTTATCGCACTTATTATTAGGACTATAAGATTAAAAATATTTGTTATATTGAATAATTTATCAATCAGAAAAAAGAAAATGTGGATATTATTACCTCATTTGATACTTGTCAACCGTCAACTGTCGATTCTGATTTCCTTCAAAACATCATCTGTGAAAAAAAAACGTCACGTGTGTACGTTCATCGATTGATCTGGTCAGGTCGTTTAAAATAATAGAGGTGAGGAAATTAAGCTATAATTATTAATTAAAACATATATTATTTGTTTAAAATATATATTTTAAGTGAGTTATAATCTCAGACGGACAAAAAGTCAGAGTTTTTGTTATGTTGCCTTTTGCCGCCACAAGATGGCGGTCGGTCACAGAACATTTGACAGAGTGATTACGCTACCGGTTTGGTTGAAGTAACAAATTTATTGATTGTATTTACATGTTTGTCACCTATATTTGTTTAAGTTTTCGGTAAAAAGTAATATTTAAGTCACACCAAAGCAAACAATGACAACTTTAGACTTCTCTAGTATGTTTAGTTAGTGTGGGCAGCCAAGTAAAGCAGGACCAGCGGTTATTGACACCTCTCAAATGTCGCACAGCTATGAAATGCTTGGAGCTGAACGACTCCTGTGGGGTAAAGTGATTCAAACCAGGCCAAAGACTCATTCCTAACCTTTACGTTTTTGTCCATTCATTTGGTGGAGTCTGGTGGTTTAGTGGCCAAATATTTTAGTGTGAGAGCGATGAGAACTTGACTCTAGTCTTTTGTGATGGTGTAAACAGGATGTGGACAGGCACTGATGGCTGATTGTCATGCTGAGGATGCATCACCTCAAGGGCACACACGGTATGAACAAAGCCTCGACAACCTTCTGTACATCAGAACAAACAAACTAACATTTACAGAGACAGTTCAACCATTTCTGTCACCATTTACTCCCTTTCTTGTTAACTAAAGTGACTTCTGTGTGGACACAGAAACAAAAATGATAGTTCTGGTAATTAATATTAATAGCCTATGTATATTTACCAGAATACCCCATGTGTTTTAAAATGACAGATTTAGACTGTTAAGACTTATTTTAACAAAATGAAGTTCTAATGGCTTTAATGATTAAAATAAACAGTGGAAGCTGACTGCAATGATCATGTCATTTGCGTCACTACCATTGTAATTTTGACGGTAGGTGATCTGACTACTTTTCATCTACAGTTTTATATTCATATTAGTTTTATATTCACAGTTATTTCAACATATTTGTATCCAGTGTAGTAGTTTAGACACCTGTTAGCCTGGATGCATGAAGTGTGTTCAGTAGGGTAAATTTCTTTGGCTCAACACCAGAGCTGGTCGTTTGTCTGGCTATTTAATATAGCCTATGGGAGGAACGTTTTTCCTCCTACTAAACTGCTTTGAAGTTGCTGGTGGTACCTACAGGTCAATACCATTTAAAACAAAATCTCAGGACAAACATGGATTTCAAAACAGCTTTATTGTAAACTATATATTTAAAGTTTAATCTATCAGAATAATTAATCATCTTATATTCATTCATTTTCTTTTTGGCTTAGTCTCTTTATTAATCTGGGATCACCACAGCAGAATGAACCGCCAACTTATCCAGCATATGTTTTTTGCAACGGATGCCCTTCCAGCTGCAACCCATCACTGGTAAATATCCATACACTCTCATTCACACACATACACTACGGACGATTTAGCTTACCCAATTCACCTGTACCACATGTTTTTGGACTTGCGCCATCGTGCTGCGGCTGCTGCCCCTAATCATCTTATATCAATACGTATTAAATCTCTGCATAGTATAATTTTTAAAATAAATTTTTAATTCACCAAGTGAATATAACTTCAAATGTTTGCTTTAATTTAACAAGTGCCTCATTACAACATGCAAATTAATAAAACTAATTTGAGAGGTAAAGACATGTTCAATGGTTTGGCGATCAGAGTATGATCAGTAAAGGCTCTCACAGATCCCCTGTAAGGAAGAACCATAATTCTCCCATAAAATCATTAAAAATGTTTATTTACTGAAATCATTGTGCCCGTTTGAGATGGTCTTTGAACAACTGTTTCAAAGTTTTGAATCTTCATAAAGTTATAAATAGACTAAAGCAGAACATACAAATCTCATTTTTTATTAAATAATCTCTTGTGGTTTGAAAATGAAAGATAATAGTCAATATCATAATTCAGTTGGTTGCACTGATTTTGATTTATTCATCCAAAAATGACCAAATAATGACATTCAGTATATTATACAGCTAATTCTGCTTTTCTGACTTGACTCTAATGCTGTATTTTCTGTTATGGAAAAAACATTACTAAACATGGCAGGGATAGGGAGTCCTGGACTATGTTAAATAATACTCCTTTTCTAAAGCCTTTATCACAATGATTCCGACAAATACACTGTTAATACCCAAGATCATTTGATTTTGGCTCATTCACACTGCCAGTGATTTAATGGAATCTGTGCATGTGTTCATGCAGAACCTGAAACTCACTGACTCTGCTTCAGTCAAGTTGGACATTTATCATTTATTATCCTTCAGCTTAGTCCCTGAATTATCAGGGGTCTCTATAGCGGAATGAACCGCCAACTACTTTCTCACATGTTTTACACAGCAGATGTGCTTCTAGCTGCAACCCAGCACAGTGCTGGGAAACACCGATACACTCCCTCATTCACAGACACGTGGACATTTTTTGTGAATGCTGTTTTTAAATAGGGTATATGCACAGCTGCTGTTTCTTCTCATACTGATAAACTTCCGGTGAACGGTTAATGTGACTTTTTCAATTTTATATGGTTCCTTTTAAAGCATCGATGTTGTAATATTATTAAAATATAATCAATTAAATAGACTTAAGCATTTATTTAGTTGTTCATGTGTAAAACAAGATGAAAATCCGTTCACACGCACATACTCGTAAGGATCAGCAGGCTAGCGCAGAAACTTCATTGAAATTGCTGGGGTAAAATAAATTTTCATATTTTAAAGACATGGTGTGGAAAAATTTAATTTAATGCAGTACTTCTTGTACATTCTAAGACCCATTTTGTATTGCATATTAATTAGGCAGTTAAGATCATTGATTTTTAAAGAAAAAATGCGCCAATTTTGTAACAACATACAGTTTACCGGAAGCGTTTGACCCAGGTTACTGCAAAATTAAAAGTTCTTCTGCATATAGCGCATTAGCTGCTCAAATAAGTTGCATGAGTAGGCCTACATCATGTTCGACACATCATTTATGGCACTGGTTCTGGCTTTTGTTCACACAGCACTCGTTCTGGGACTGATTACTGCATTTTTACTAGGTCTCTAACCAAATCCCTTGACATGTTTGTGTTCACACAGAAGGCAATCCAGCAATTTTCTGGCAATTTCCCAGAATCAATAAGCAGTGTGAAAGGGGCTTAGTAGATTTATCTCTAGAGTCATCATCTCATGTAAGTTAACATCATTTTGATGTTCAAAAAGTACTGCTGTTTTTATTTTTGTGAAACCCTTAAAATGAGCATATACATTAGCCTACAATAAGAACATCAGACAATGTACCAGAGATGAAAATGAGCTTTCTTCTCAGATCCCCATCAAAAGATATGAAGGGGTATCAGTTTATCAAACTGATGACGTTTTTGATCAAGCGGTGCAACTTACAGACGGTGCCTAAGCGGCAGACTCGCTTCTCTCTCTCCACAGCTCTCACAACACTTTTCATGTAGTCCACACTGAGCACTCGTGCACTCGCTTCATCGGCTTTTACTGCACAGTTTAGCCAGTGATTTAACTGTGACTGATCGTTTCACGTGCACTCCTCTTTTTTTCCACATCACTTCGCTTCTCTGACCACTTTCTTCATTTACACCGCAGGCACCAGGTTACTTTTCTGGTCTGACTTTTTTTTAAACGGAAGATGTTTTTAATGAGATGCAAATTGCGCTGCGGTTGACTCCGATGTTGCGCGTCGCTACTTTTACAGAAGTTTCTTTAGTTTCAGAATAACATTTTCCCCTGCCGCATCCTGGCGCGAGGTTGCGTGCAGCGCGCTACGGATTAAATGGATTAATTACCACATCTTCACCTCAGTTTTCAAACAACTGGTTTATATCGAGTTTGTTTGGAGGCGCTTAACTCAACGGGTTTTTAAAAATGAGCGAAATAAACACTGAGGAGGACAATCAACATGAAAACGAGTGTCTCAGTGGCAAGGACTCGGACCGTCAGCTTCGCCTGAGACTGTGCGTTTTAAATGAGATATTGAACACCGAACGGGATTACGTGAGAAACTTGACATTTCTGCAGTCGGTAAGTGGACTGGGTTTGATCCAAACTTCTCTTAAGTGTTGTAGTTTGGACGCACATGTGTCTGGTTACATGTTACGGTCGCGCGGTTATTGTTACAGTCTCGTTTACAGGCTCATAAACTGGAGATAACGGGCACTGGGGAAGCTGTCAGGCAGTGTTTTAGTCACTGTAACGTACTGTCGTCAAGAAAAGAGGAAGAGGGAGAATACGTGATACATGCAGCTTTTCCAAACCAAATACTGTTTGCTAGGTTATTTTTAAGTGCCATTTTATTCATAACAAACATGAAGGGGTTGTTTTGTAGAGGGACTTCGTAGGGGTTTTGTTTATGATGCTTTGCAAGCATGTCAGTGTTGTTGGTCCAGAGAGTGTTTTAACTTCGCATTTCCCAGCATTGTTTTTCTTTATGCTTTTACAGATCTACAAGTAAAACTCAAATGCCATTGTTGATTTATTTAATTAAAATACTTTTTTTTCTTAGAAATATTAATAATGGTAGCAATAACACAAACACAATTTTCTAAAACTTGCATTTGAATGTTTTCACATATTTGTAGTCTTTCAGTTGAAAGACAATCACATTAATGTTTTAAGTTATGATCTGTCATTACTGAAGTGTTTTTATATGCAATATAAGCATTGGAGAATATATTTTGTTATTTCATACACCCAGATTTCAACTTCATCAATGCATTGCATTTATTGCTTTCATTTTTTTAAATATGGAAATGACAATATTATTTACATTAAGCTATGTTAACCTTGATTTAATAGGTCTTGATTCTTTACACACACCTCTTGTTCGGAATCGCTTCATCGATTGAATTACTGTAATGTGTGTTTTTGGGTGTACTTTAGAGATGACTATGAAGAGATGACTATAAAGGGTGAACACTTTCATATCGAGAAACCAGAGTCTGTCACTTTTGCTATCCTATTTGTCTAGGCTCTAGCAAAAAGTGTATTTCCTTGTCATGTGCCATTTCCTTTTATGTCTCGTAAAATCAGCATTGACTGAGAGGTGGGATTTTTTACTATTTTGGCCTGTAATCCCCTACAATTTTCAGTACACTTGTTTTGTTTTTTCTTTTGATAAGACCAGCTTGTGCTCATCAGCATACAGTCCCGCTCAGAGCAAACATGTGTCCCAGTGACGCCCCTCCCAGACAATCACTGACCCTCCACGGTATTTCAATGCTCTGAGAAGTGATAATAATGTATGTTAACAAGTAAAAACAAACACAGAAAGACTTTGAAATCTCCAGATTGTTAGTTGGCATACTTGACAAGTGTTTTCTTGCTCTCATTAGCATCAGATCATGACATAGCACGCCTGAATTTTAGCAGAGACAATCATGAACCCATACATATTCATCTTTTCATTCACCGATAAGGCTTATAAAAGTATTTAAGCACTGATACGATGGATAACCTAAAAAATGAAAACCTGCTGTTTGCTCATCTTGAGATTAAGGTGATTTTTTTTTTTCTTCTGCAGAAAGACTTTAGCTGAAAACGAAGTCATCTGTGGTTCGTAAACTGCAAGTCAATAGAATGTGATACAGACCATTTGCCAAGGCTGTGTATTAAAGATAATAATGTTATAAATGATTATACCATTTCTTTCACTGACTGTTTCACTTCTTAAGATCTCAATGTATTGTCAGGAGCCACAGATATTCTAGTTTTGCCTGTATGTTTACATGTTTTCATTCCAAAATGTAAGGTTTCAGCTAAATTGTCTATAATGTTCTGCTAAGGCTGCACGATACTGATAAAATATGCAGTTTGCTTTAATCTTGTTGAGAATTGCGATGAAGATTTTTCTTATGATGTAAAATTTCCCTAGAGAAATGCTTTTTTTATTTGCTATTTTAAAACAATGATTTAATTCAGGTAATGATTGTATTAAATAAACAATTAATATATGATTTTTCTGATGTAACTGAATCTAAAAAAACTGTCAAGGTGCAAACATTTACTTTAAAATGTTATAAATGAGTATAGAAAAGTCCAGATCCGATCACGTGATCGCAAATCGGGCCCGAACACTAGGTTTTAGACTCTTATCGGAATCGGACCTTACCTTCCGATCAGGACTCGAATATATATGTATATATATATTCCTATTATTTTTTACGCATCTACAGTTATGCGGTGGCAGAGTTAGACCTCTTTATTGACTTTACACAGAAACAGCAACGCGTGTGGCATGACGTTATTGGTTAAATGTTGGCAAAGTAAAACACGATAGCCGCTTGAAGCGGAAAGCGCGGGTATGTCCATGGTCTGGAGGTATTATAAAGTTGATAACGATGACATTGCCACAACAGACTGTGAGATATGTAAACTTGGGATTGCCTGTTGGGTATTTTAAGTTAATGTGCCATTTGTTTTTATATTAGATTTTCTTTCTTTTATATTTACTGTTGCACTAAAGTAGTTCAAGCTACCTTACAGAAGTGCTCTGTTTGATAACTTGTTGAATGTTAAAATATTAATTACATAAAAATAAGGATTACATAAAATAAGGAACATCCTGGATCCGTTTCTTCACTCCTCTTTATTCTTAAGTATTATAAAAGTATCGGATCGGGTTTCGGTATCGGTAGATACTCAAAATCAAATGGCTGGCTCGAATTTAAGGACAAAAAAAATTAAATATCTGATCGAGACATCTCTAGAGAAAACCTTCACAGATATTCTGATTCTCATTGGCAGTTGTCATTTGTCTCGCTAGTCTCACCTCACGCCATGTTTTAAGTAAAAAGTCAACCAAATAAGTAAACTTACAGTAAATTAAGACATTTTTTTCCCACTGTAATTTCGAATTCCCAAATGCATTTCTTACATTCCACCCTCGTGCATTTTCCCTAGTTCAAAACCTCATAATCCAGGGATAAATTTAACAGGATCAAAAGGAACCGGAGAGGTTTTGCAAACATGCCAATGAGGGGTTAGCAGCCTTACAGTTATTAAACCAGTTTTATAACAGTCCCTCTTAATCATATTGGTTCGTTAAGCTCCAATACTACAGTGGCTTTGTGAAGAAGATGCCAATTGATGGCGTCAGTACTGTTCAGGGAAAGACACTGTTTCTGGTTTTTAGGGAGAGGATGAATTTTTGTCCTAGTTCTTGTTCTTTGCATATGGGAAGAATCATAGGCTCCTCTCATCTGCTGAGTCTCAGAGGGTTTGATCTCCCTAGCGGTGCATCTGATGTTATCTGATCTGGAAGCATTAAGTGAAGCGCGTCCAATCAAATTAGTCCCCACAGATGCACCTGACGGTCTCTCGTCAAGATGTGTTGACGCAGGTGAAGCGAAGCGGGCGGTGGTGCATCAGGTGAAAGAGAGAGGAAACCACTTCATCTTTCATTCTTTCTGTGTAAAAAAACAAGGCTGTGCTTGAGATCAATATCAAAGACGTCTGGCTTTCAACTCATGACGGCCATGCAAGGTGGTCTTTATTTTCTTTTGTCAGGGGCACAGCAAAGCCAAACATCACTTGCTGCCACTGTAGGAAGACTGTATAATTGCTTCATGAATTTGTTCAGATGTTTATGTTAGATCCCTGGAAAACTTTTATCAATCTGAAAGACTTCAGGACTGTCTTTGTTTGCACGCTGAATGTCTCCTTTTGCGTTTGTTTATCTGCGGAATTCAACAAGGACTCTCAAATAGATACTACAAAAGGACAGTGTCAGTTTCAAAGAAATAAACCAGGCTGTAATTTCATAAACGGCAGGCAGAACCAGAGATTCCCTTGAGAGTACTATTTAGGCATCGTGCCCAGATTTTTTCTGTCATTTTTGAATTTTAGATCAGAGATAAACAGATTTAGGGTCACATATTAATCCATAGATACTGAAAGTCCCTGCCTATAAAATTGCGAATTATGTCGTATTATCCAGTGACTGTCCATTTCACATCTACTTTGAGTGGCACTTAAAGAAGTGGTTTTCAGAAATTGATTTTATTAATTGTTCCCATGAGGGTCCTGTCGAATGGAATTTTGAAACTTGGTTGACAAATTGGCACAGAAAAAACTGTTGCTAAATGCTTTATTTCATTTCAAAGTAGGCATTTTAAATTAATTATTTATTATTGCTTTGATGTTTTGTATTATCTTTTTTTTGTTAATTGTTTTTACATTGGCAATTTTTTATATTTAAATAATCACTTTAAAATTTCTATTTATTTTTATTTACACATTTAAATGTAAATGTTAACATTTCATGTTTTATTATGGAATTAATAAAGTTTCTTATTTTTTATTGATTTTATATTCACACACACACACACACACACACACACACACACACACACACACACACACACACACACACACACACACACACATATATATTTATTTATTTTATTTTTTTTTTTAAAAAGTGGCATTTATTTGACCAAAAATTTTTGTTGGTTAATATTCCAAAGTGAATTTACAAACTAAATTTATATAGGGCTGAACGGTGGCGCAGTGGGTAGCATGTTCGCCGCACAGCAAGAAGGTCGCCTCAGCTGGGTCAGTTGGTGTTTCTGTGTAGGGTTTGCATGTTCTCCCTGTGTTTGCGTGGGTTTCCTCTGGGTGCTTTGGTTTCCCCCACAAGTTCAAAAACGTGGTATAGGTGAATTGGGTAGGCTTAATTGTTCGTAGTGTGTGTGAATGAGTGTATATGGTTGTTTCCCAGTGATGGGTTGCAGCTGGAAGGGCCTCTGCTGCGTAAAACATGTGTTGGATAAGTTGGGGGTTCATTTTGCCGTGGCGACCCCTGATTATAAAGAGACTAAGCCGAAAATAAAATGAATGAATGAACGAATTAAAATGCAGGAACATTTTTGTATTTAGTTAATGCATTGTAGGTGACTTGGTGGCACAGTGGGTAGCACTGTCTCCTCACAGCAAGAAGGTTAGTGGTTCGAGCCCCGGCTGAGCTAGTTGGCATTTCTGTGTGTTGTCTGTACTGTATGTTGAAAAAAATACCAATACAAATA